TGACATTTTCAGCCATCCAATAAACCTTAATTGGTCAACTAGTGTATTAAAGCCCCAATTAGAAAGTGTTTTGGCAGGATTGTGGATTTGTGATTGCAGAGAGCAGGCTAGTACAACTCAACTTGTGAATTTATTGGCCAAGAAATGGCTAATTAAGTAGCTTCTGAAGCTACTTAATAAACCACAGACTGCATGGCAGTTCTAAACTACAGAGGTTTGTGCTTAGGATGGATTGCTGGGACTGTAAAGTGAGCTAATGTTGAACTTGAGACCAAATTGCCAACTTACGGTTGCTAAATTATGGTTTTAAAGACCGTAGCAATGGCGAGTTGCTAACTTGTACTCTGAAATCCCGTAAGTTAGCAACTCACCGCTGCTAACTTGCGGCATTAGCATCTTGGGTATGTTAGCAGCTGCTAACTTACGGCATTAGCATCTTGGGTATGTTAGCAGCTGCTAACTTACGGCATTAGCATCTTGGGTATGTTAGCAGCTGCTAACTTGCGGTTTAAGAGATCGCAAGTTGGTAACTTATAGCTGCTCCCGTTAAAACGTACCGTTTTACCGTTAAAGGTAGTTTACTACCATTTAATAAACCCAAGATCAGGCATAACGTGAGATTAGTTTGTGAAACAATATCTCAAGCTTTCAGTATTTTACACGGCCAACCTGAATCCCTCGTCTTATGATTGATAGAATATGGCGCAGCTGCTAACTTTATAAGATATGACCGCTCAATTCAACTGCCAAGTTAGGTAAAGACGACATTAATCAGAGAAACGGTCAAGAAGACTTTGAATATCAAAGCGATGCAGGGATCAGGTGGAAGAACGTTCACTGGACAAAGATTAGTAATACAGTTTATGGATTAATGAAGAAAAACGTAAAAAAAAAATAGCAAATGTAGGAGGAGGTTTGGGGAGATGAGAAATTGTTTAATTTTAAAGAACATTCATCCCCTTCATGCTACTTTGTGTTGACCTAAGCAAGGTGTTAATACTAAGATAGTTGCTGGGTAAAGAAGAAAATGATTCGGTTGTGTTTTAAAGTTTAATTTTTGTGGAGGAAGAGGACTTTACAGTGTTTCTCTCCATTGCTGATTTATTAAAACATTTCTTCTGCTTCAGGAATGGCCTCCTTGCTTAGTGAGAAGATTTTGCACAATAAACAAAATTCTAACTGGTTGATGAGGTGACCCCCGTTTCTGCCCTCTGTTGACGCAGTTTTATTATCAGTTCAGATAATTAGTGCACATTTTTCAGAGAAATGAACCGAGACCAGGACTCCCTGTACTCATAAGTATTCACAACAACATCAACACGAGCTGCATCTCTGATCAGCAGCATGTTTACATGCCACTCAGCTGTAATATCAAACTGATTCTGATGTGAACTTTGACCCCTTAAAATGTTAAGTTTTCCCCTCCCTAACAGTTGGGGTAACATCCACTCCAAAAGAGAAAACTACAGCGTATCTGGGCCTTTGCAGAAGGAAAAGGGGAAGGAGTACATTTCCAACAAAAATCTTTGAGATTGGTCTCAAAAAAGTTGTAGACAATTTGAGTTATAAAATAATAACATTTGCTAGAAAAAAATTTAAATGTATTTTAAATGTCAAAAATGTGTCAAAAAAAAACTAAGAAATTTCTAATTTAATCAGAAAATTTTCAGAAAAATTTTAACTTTTGAAACTGACATTTTTATGTTTTTCCAGCAATTGTTTTTACTTTTGCACTCAGAATTTTATTTTATTTTTTTTGATTGTGTGTGGCCCCTGACTTCAAATCAAGAAAGATACAAACTTTCCCCCCAGTGCGGGTTTTTGATATGGATGGAGACTTTCTATCTTCAATTAGGACAAAACAAGCAAAATCTTCCTACAATAGAAAATATTGGCTGTAACACAAATGATTTCTTTTTTTTCTCTTAGAGAACCAGTAACTTTTACTCTAAAGCAAACTTTGCTTCAAATCTGCTTTTTCATTCATTTAATAAACTTGGATAAATACAGCAGGCATTTTCAAAGAGGGTAACCTAAATCCTGATTTTATTCATCAGAATTGATTACATTTAGTTTTTCCTCCAATTGATATATAGAAAATTAGAAAACTTGTTTTCAATAAAGTAAATTTTTGGATCTAGAGTAATTTACATATCTTTTAATTGTTTAGTTTATTGTTGAGAAGGTAAATAAACATTTTTTGGCCCATCAACCATAACTGAGTAAATAGCATGGCCTGCATTCTTCTCCTAACATTTTGGAACATGTATTTGAAGCTGTGTGAACTGCACAGGAATAACAAAACACATGACTGATCCTCTGAATCATCTGTTTGCTTAAGAAAACGAAAAGAAGTAGAGAAGGTTCCCGTTTGAACAGATTACTATCAGAATAATTCAGCAAAACAAAGACGTTTCACAAGCGCTGTTTGCGCGTACAGTGCAACACGCCTGTGACATTTAAGCCTCCTTTGTTTCCAGAGGATGAAGGAGAACGTTTGACAGTCGGAAGCAGCTTGCAGCATTTGTTCCTCAGCGTCTCCCTCTTCTGCTCCAGCTGCTGATTTATCGTATCTATCAGGGCAGAGTTGGCTCATATGGAACGTGGCCAATTCTCCCCGAATCGCTCGCTGTGGCCCAGCTGATGCCCGCTTGCCTTAAGAATGCCTTTAGAAACGGATTAATTTACGCTCTCATATCTTAGAGGGTGAAGGAAGATGCTTATGTCCTTAAAATGTGCTCATATTTTCACTGCTTTTGACCAAAATGGCCTCCTACCGTCACTGGGTGATGAGTTTTTTGGAAAAGTTGGTTTACAATTGTTTCCCAAATGAAGAATAGGAGCATAAAAATATGACTTACAGAGCCAGGAATGGTAAAATCCCCGTTTTTGAATGTTATTCTGTTCTCCTTTTTACTTCCCATTTAATGTTTTCTTTCTGATCTTTGTCAAAAAGGATTTACGCCAAAATAATGGAATAGTTTAGAAGAATTTAAAAAAAAAAATCTGATTTGAATTGTGGGTGCAGCAAAGTCAGCTTTTCAGTAAAAAAAAAAGTCTCTGGATAAACTTGGTGTTTACTTTTGTTAAGGCTTAGTTATAAAAAGACAGAATACTTTGTGGTGTTCTTTACATTTTCTTGTGTAAGAAAATAAAGTTGGTAACAATTTTTCCCCTGATTACAAATTAAAAGTCTCCATCTGTGTGTACGGGCCAAGTTTGTACCATTTTTTTAAATGTAGCTGGGGCCGCACAAAGCCAATCCAAGGGCCACAAATGGTCCCCGAGCCACACTTTGGACTCCCCTGTCTCAACTAAACATCATGGAACTAGACACGATATCAGGAAGTCAGAAAATCTTACAGTTTAGAAGTCCATCCTACCAAATAGTAAGTATATGATGTGAACTTCTGAATTTCTAGAATGTTAAAAATATATATATATTTTTGGAAAGCCCTAAATCAATAAAGGACCTTTGTTAGATATTGGGGGGAGGGAGGGAAATTTAGTTAATCTATAAAAAGTATTTCACCTGTTTTAAAAAAAATCTTTTTAATAACATTAAACCTAACTTAGTATATACTTTAGAACATGACAAAACTAAACTTTAAAAGACCGCCCAAAATGCTTTGTGTGTGTTCGTTTCATTGTGAGGACAAAAAGCCAACGGAGGGAAACACGGAGCAACTGCGTCAATGAAGTAGCTAAATATGCTAGTGCGGGTTATTTGCGGCCATTTCTTCAAGTCATCATTCCTCTTCTCAGTATCTGCAGGTAACGAAAAAAACAATATTTACACATTTATGCTGTGACAGCTGGTATTCAAACATATTTAATAGCTTAAAACCTCTGACGAAAGCCGGTTAGCCAGTTGCTAACATGTAAACAAATGGCGGTTCCGGTTTGCGGCGGAAGTCGCGCCCATAATTCAGGCTGGGAATAAGGTGGATATAAATGTCTGGTTTAAACTGTAAGTTTGGCATGCAAAATATTAAAGCTTTGGAGATGTTGAGGAGACAGGAAATATATTTATTTTAAAAAAAACTTGCCTAAATAACATCTATAAGGTTTATTTGTTTTTGACAAAACATTACTGTTGTGTTCTAAAATTCCTTTTGAAATTTTTAAGCTGTACATGAAATGATAAAATAAGAAAAGACATACGCAGTGAAGGCTAAGTGAATTGTCTTGTTTTATGTAACATTCATAATCATCTATTTTATATGATAGCAGGGACATGAGGATGCCACTGCAGGGTCTTAAATCAGATGTGTCTTTCACAGTATTTTAAACACAGCATGTTTAAAGCTGCGGTTTAGAACTTTTATTTTTAAAATATCTTTTACATATTTGTTAAAACTGTCACCATGTTGTGACAGTATGAGACATAATCTGAGAAAATAAATCAAGCTTCTCCCTGAGCTGCTATGGCTGTCTGAAGAAATCCACTGCTCCCAGTCAAAAACAAGCAATCAGAGCAAGGAGGAGGGGCTTAGCGCTGTCAATCATCCTTGTGAAGGTGCTGCTAAATATGCTAATTGAGGAGAAACAACAGGAAAATCATTTATGTGCCATCATCAGTAGGCATGCTAACTAGCATTAGCATTAGCATTCATGACAGGTTCTGCTGACGGAAAAAATTCTAAGACCCGCCTCCTGGCTCTGATTGGTTGTTTCTAGTTGAGAAAAGGCAGATAAGCCTGATTTTTTTATCTGTCACATAATATACTGTCACCATACAGTGACAGTTTCAGCAAATAAGTAAAAAAGTAAATTTTGTATGACAGTCTGTCTGTGCTATTTGTGTAACACATTTCAGTAGCAAGGCAGTTGAAGGTGCTTTACATTATAAAACCACAAAATTACTAAGTTATAAAGAAAACACTGTAACAAATATTACATTTTGATGAGTGCCATCAGCAAAATCATACGCATCAAAAGCGACTTTTAGTCTTGATTTGTACCTTAGAAGGTAAATGGGATGGGATATATATACATAGATAGATAGTTCTAAAGATGAGCGCACTTTTACATCTGTGGAGAAATGTTTGACCTGGAGTTCAATTCAGATTTTTATTTTTGTAAAATTCCAATAAAATACAGTCTATGATGGGACAAAACGTGAAAATGTTCAGAGATTTATCAAAGCACTGTAGTTTGCTTTCTGAAACAATTTCTCCTCCTTTCCTGATGCCGTAATGTTCCTGATCAACACCGAGACGCCGCTCCTTCCTCAGAGCTGAAATATTCAACATCTATCCACACTTCTGACAGCCGGAGAGAAAGAGCAAGTTGAGGACTTGAACTCATCTCTCCTCTCTCCCACTTCTCTGCAACATCCACTGCTGACAGTCTGTTGCTAAGCAACTGTAAAATAAAGCAGTGGGCTCTGAAGTCAGCGCGAGAGAAGAGGAAGAGAGTTCACAAGTACTGCAATACACTACTGTTTGTTTAGCTCTCTGCATGATCCCGGCACATCTCTCGGTTCCCATCTGTAGATCCACGATGACTTGTGACTTCTGGTTGTCGGACGGCCAGCCAATCAGGGCCGGCTGCGAGGCGGGCTCATCGGTTCCCTAGGCTACCTGTGTGATTGACGTTCAGCCTCCTGCAGCGGAGCGCGCGGCGGTGTATCACTGATGCTCCTGCTTCCCGGGAGACAGTGGAGAAATCTGGAAGAGAGGAGAGCCGGAGAGAAAACACAAGAGCAAGTGGAATGCTAATTATTTAAAGTCCTTCAGGTTTTTCCTCCTGCTCTCTTTGCTGGAAAGATGAAAGCTGCAGCGCAGGAAGAAGCCGGCTGAGGGGAAGGATTCCCAAAGAAGAGGGATTTGTTGGTAAGAGAAGAATCACAACACTTTCTTTTCTGTTACCTGTCCTTGTCGTCACTGTGCATTACCAGGTGGCCTTTTGGCTGGTGTGTTATCTATCTGTGTGTGTGTGGGTGAGACAGAGAGATTTTCTGCATACTGCGTGGCTGGAGAACGGGTTTGGTGCTAACCCGTATCCTGCATGAAGCTTGTGTTACAGTGTCAGTCATGCCTGTGCTTTAGCTGAGTCAAGGGGAGCTCCCCTATATGAGCATATAGGAGCCGGAGGGATTTAAAGCAGCTCCATCCATCGGTACGCGGATACAGTTACAGCTTAGGCCAGGATTTCTAGGGCTTGTCTACTGTGTCTGCATAAGAGGAGGAGTATTAATTACATAACACTTCATTTACACTCTTCTGTCAGTTCTGTGCAGCTTTAAGCTCTCCCTTTGGTCCAGAAAAGGTTTTTCTCTACCTGCTATAAATGAACCAAAACACTTTACTTTTTGAGTCTGAAGGAATCTGGATGTTTTTCTACAGAGGAGGGCAGAGAACCCCAAAAAAATTATAAAAGTAAGAGTAAAAAGGTATTGGTAAAAAGTCAAGTACTGATCAATAATTTAATATTTAAAAATTACATAATCAGGCAAGCTACAATATAAAGTTAAGTGGAAATTTTGGTATTTTAAGGACCAAAATGACAATAATTTATATAAACAACAACAAAAAAAAAAAAAAAAAATCAGGCAAAAGAAAATGTTTCCAGATCAGTTTTTTAAAATAAAAAACTTATGAAACTTTAACAAAAACTGCAGATGTGTCTCTGTGTCTGTTAAAGTTTTGGTTAAAACATGTTTGTTTTTCATTCAGTGGGTAGAAAAGCCAGAAATTTTGCTCAAGTAAGAGTAAAAATACTCCTAAAAGTTCATTTTTCAAAAAGATTACTCTTTTAAATGTAACTGGCTACTACCCAACTTTGGTACTGAGCAACTGATCAAATTATCAGTTATTTAATATTTAAAAATTACATCAGACGGACCAAAATATAAAGCTAAGTTTAAATTTTGGTATTTTAAGGATGAAAATGACAATAATTCATATAAGTAGCCAAAAACAAAATCAGGCAAAACAAACGTTTTCCAAATCAGTTTCTTTCAACAAAAAGCTTTAGCGATACTTCATAATAAAATTACTCAAGTAAAAGTAAAATTACTCCTAAAAGTGCATTTTTTCAAAAGTAGTTACTCCAGTAAATGTAACTAGTTCCTTCCCTCTCTGTCTTTCTGGCAGTATGTTTTTGCGTCCCATTGGAGTGTGTGTCAGCGAAGCGGCGCCAGCAGTCGCTGAAACCTCTATTAGTTACTTCGGGTCAGGCGACAGCCGGGCCCTCTTTGCCCTCGGGTCTCGGCACCGTCAGGGCGTTCACGTTCTGCTTGGCTGCTGTCACGCCAAAAGTCGGCTTTCTGACCACCTGAGGACGGCTCACATGCTTTCAGACCAGGTGTGAAAACTTTTAGCACCCTGAAGGGTTTTTTATTACTTTTTTCCCTTAAATGTCTGAATGTAAGCTTCTTCCACTCTGGCTTTTGTCCGTTTAGAAATTCATGAGAGACGTTAGTTTTCCGCCACACATATAGATAAAAATAGAAGAGTGAATGTAAAAGTATGCATGATTTCTTTAGCCCTATGAAAGCTCCAAGGTCGTTTGGCTGAGAAACAAGCCCACACCATTACAGATCCTCTACCGTACCAACCAGTTTAGCATCACCAGACACATTTGGACAAGTTGCAGCCAAAGAGCTACAATCTCAAATTCAAAGCAAATTCAGATTCAAAAATCCTTCATTAATCCCAAAGGGAAATTAAATGATGTTGTAGTTCATCAGTTATTCAAAGAGTTATTGAAGATGGTGATGGCTGTTGGCAGGAAACATTTCTACAACTCCAGTTGAAATCATGATGACATCACAGAGGACTTATTGTGCAAAATTAGCATTTTGCACGTTTCTGTACTTCCATTTGCATTTCTACTAATTCTAAAATCAAACTAACCCAGCTGGTTTTTGAAAAAAGTTAACTATTTTTGGTGTCTGGAAAATGAGTCATTTAAAAAACCTTCTGAATATAAATTGACAAATCAGCAGGCGACGCCCCTCTCCTGGTAACCCAAGCAAAGCTGGTTGGTTTTACCGCTGTACAATGGCTGCTGGAAAAGACAAGTGTTTTGTTGTCGTCTTACAATGCAGAAACCTCCTGTTGCTGCTTTTCAAAGATGTACAATTGTATAACTGCACTTCTGTTGTACAGCCATTTCCTCGCAGCCGCTTATTTAGGAAGTGACAGGATGTCCTAAAATGCTAAGGCTGACAAAAAACTCAAAATCTCATTATCTATGAATGATTTTGTGGAAAAAATGTAACAAAAATGTTGGTTGTAACTCTTGGACCTTTAATATAACTGCATTAATTTATATTTTTGACTACTTCTGCAGTAGTTACGGCTTTCTTTGATGTTGTTCTTTAGTGAAAACTTTGGATATTTTATTGCTATTGTTGCCATCCTCTACTGTGCATGTTGGGAAAATATCCAGCATTGCTGAGCACAATTTCAGTCATGTTAGCAGCTGTGTTTTTAAACTAATTTCTTACTAATGAAGATCAACACGTATCTGAATGACATGTTCTCTCTTTTCCATTTTGGGCCTTTCCATGGCATGAAAATGAAATAAAAGTTTCCAGACACTGATTAACATTAAGAAAGAAAAGTAAGTTATTGATAATAACTGATAGTGATTTTGTTAAAAACATTAAAAATGGATTTTCCCCACAATTTTCCATAAGTACACTCACATTACAGCATCAAATTTTGATTCTAAATTTTACTAACAGTCCTCAAGCATTTCTCCACCAAAACCTTCAATAATCTATTTAAAATAGCTTAACACAGCTAATAAATCCATGTTTAAGCAGTGGGTTGGTATAAACGTTCTTATCTTTGAAAAACAAAGATGTTCCTGTGCAGATAGAAACACCTCCTACAGCGTGGAGACATTTCTATTTTAGCCATCTTCATATCTGACTCACGCTGTTCATAAAACTCTTCTCCATCTTGTTTCCACAACATGGCAGCTCAGCAGGGTTTCCGGTTTATTTCAGCTATGTAGCTGTTTGGTTTGCAGTTTTATTTCCGTTTATCTGGGATCTTACTGTACATCCAGATCCTATCTGCGTAATCTGTGCAATCAATCCATCGGTTACCAGCTCGGCTGGAGTCTGCAGGCTTCCTGTTTGCTATCTGTGAGAGCTAATTAGGTATTCCATAGTGTTTCAGGAGCTACATGCTGGAGGTGTTGGAGCTGCTGCCTGTTTGCCTGCCTGCGTAGGAGGAAACATCTCATCTTCTGAATCTCTCCGTCTACTACACATACAAACTTTTAGGGAGTCGTTTCTGCTTCGTTAGAACAGGAAAGTAAGAGGAGATGAGTCGAAGATGGAAGGACATGAGTCGGATTTGAGCCTGCGTGATTTTCACCTCGGCCCACGGATTCGCTGGGATGGCCCTCAGCCGAGAGAAACAGTAACGCAGGTAATCCGGCGATTACGGCCTGAGCCCCGGTAAACCGCAGAGTACTTCCACAGCAGAGCTGAGGGATTGGCCGGATTCAGTCGTGTTTTAGTAAGCCTGTTAAATCACACGATGACAGTGTGTCATTGACTGAGTGTAAGTGCCAACGTGGTAACAGGAGGTGCAAATATCTTCCTATCTTGTGGTCAGTTTATAACGGCGTCACTCAGAAATCTGATATATAGAGTAGCTGTAAAGGTTTACACAACCCTCTGACCATGCCTGGGTTTTAACACTTTAGAGCTTTTTCCACTTGTAATGAGACATTTAAACTGTTAATCTGAAAACAAAAGAGGCGCAATAACCTGCTGCACATCCTAAAATCTGACTTTGGTAGGAGTCTGTCAACAGCAGTTATCTTGTTTTAGTAATGTAGCTTCTCCAAGAGTCTCAAAGTGTGAGGACATTTTGTCTGCAGGGTTCTTCAGGTCAGATTTAGGATTAGCCATTTTGACTCTTTAAATATGCAGAATGTAACTTCAATAAATAATACCTGGATATTTGACAGATTTTCTGTGAAAAAATTTAAGCTCCTCTGCCTTCTTCCAGTGCTACCAATCAGAGCCTGGAGAAGGGTCTTAGCGCTGTCAATCACCCTCCTAGTGGCGCTGCTCAATCCCCTTTGCTCTCTGCTGTGCTGCAGATAATAGCCTATCCTGAATGCTAAGGCTAGTTAGCACAAATGAGTTATTTCTGCACCATTAGCACATTTAGCAGCAAGTACACGAGGGTGATTGACTGCACTAAGACCCTCCTCCTGGCTCTGATTGGTTGTTTTTGTCAGGGCAGGTGCATTTCTTGGAGTAATTCAGGGAGGAAGAGGAGGAGATTGATATTTTCACAGATTATTTGTCAGAACATAGACACAGTTTTAACTAATATGTAAAAATACATATTGTTTTTTTATAAAAGTTACATACTGCAGCTTTAATTCTCTTCTTACGAAGTTGTTCTTTTTATTCGGACATATGCTTGGACTTAATCTGACAAAATAAAACATTTCTTTGTTTTAATGCATTAAAAACATAAAGGTTTTGAATCAGAACTGACTGGCATTTCAAAATGCCTCAGTGGTGTCAGGTTCCCTTCATCGATGGCCAGCGTCCTTAAACCCTTAAATGGTTTGTGCTTCAACAATCCTGCAGCTGATAATTATGCCAATCGTAGAACTCTGTAGAACGAGCTGCTTGCTATAATTATATTTCGTCCATTTGATTTTTGCCATGTTGGACCAAAAACAAATGGACTGAACTGATATACAGTTTGTCATATTAAAGATGAGGAAAGTTTGGCATTGTGGAGAATCACAACTTCAGTTTTTATGCTGCATCAATCAAACTAAATGATTTTTTTTTTTTGGTACCAAATGAGGCATCAGTTCTCTGCAACCCTTCAAGTTAAAAGTGAGTTTAGATAATGGATATGCTGGTAGATGAGTTATCATTCTAACAATGAAGAGCTAAATCTTTCCCATTTTACCTCTGCCAGTTTTGAAATACAGCAAATCTATAAAACTTTTAAAATAATAGGCTAATACGTTAGCCTATCATCAGTTTTCATGTCAATATCAAATATTTTAGATATTATTTTAAATTCAAATGTATTTAGTCTTTAAGTCTTTAGATTTGACACATTAAACTTCCATCTCATCCTGCTGTTTTGATTTCAAGTGGCAGGCTAAGGCAGGGTGTCCAAAGTGCGGCTCGGGGGCCATTTGTGGCTCTTGGACTGATTTTTTTGTGGTCCCCAAGTGCAATTCAAAAATGATTCAAATTTGTTCCGGAGATGCAGATGGAGACTTTTAATTTGTAATAAGGGTGGAAATTGTTACCAACATTATTTACTTACACAAGAAGTATAACACAAATCTTTTGTCTTTTTATAACCAAGTTTTAACAAAAGGTAAAACCAGGAGGCTTTTACTGAAAAGCCAACTTTACTGCAGCCAAATCAGCTTTTATTCTTTCTTAAACTTGGAAAAATATAACAAGCTTTTTGAAAGAAAGTGACCCAAATCCTGTTCTTATTACTGAAAGAAATGTATCAATAAAAACAAACTGAAAACTACATGTTTATCTTTTAATACGGCAAACATGCGAAATCTGCTACTTACGGCATATTAGAGCCATTGTAGGGAAACAAGTAGTAAATATCTGCCAAAAAACTCAGATATTTTGAGAGTAATCTCAGAAATTTTCTATGAAAAACAATGAAATTTGCTAGAAATTTATTTTTATATCAGAGATTTTCTACAAAACAAACTGGAAATTTCTTAATTTCAAATGTTGAAAATTTTCTTTTGAAAGATTTTCTAGAAAATGTTCAAGCTCTAGAAGATTTTTTAAGGTTAATCACATAATTTTTCATTTTGGCAGAAATTTACTCCTTTTTTTCTTTCAACAAAGACCCAACAATAAAAACCATACAGCTTTATTTACTTGTTTTTAGGCTGGGTTATTTTCGGTCCACTTTTGAATCTACAGTTTTGGCCCAAAAAGTTTGGACACCCCTGGCAAAGGCCTACTTCCAATAATACTCCCAGTCACAGGGTGGCGCCAAACACACAGCAGACGACAAAAACGGCAGGTAAGATTATGACAAAGAATTAAAAAACAACAGAGGCTATTTTAAATAATAGAATAAGGAGAAGGGATGCAAAACAGCTTGTTGCTAATTGGTTCTCTTCTTCCTCTCCTCTTCTAAGCAGCGGTGCAGCACATTATTGCCCCCTAGAGGTTGTAATGAAACTCCATAAACACATTTTACATGTGGACCAACAGCAGGTCACACATGTAAAGGTGTTTATAGACTTTTTCTGTTAAATTTTGGGACCTCAAGGCGATACTCAGGACCAGATCTGGACATCTTAATTAACCCTGTTTGTTGAAGTTTTCTTAAAACTGTGAAAAATCGGATTATTGATCAACTAATTAATTTGGAAAAGTACCTGCTATTTCCCCTCCTGCTGTGTTCAAAGAAATTATTGGACATGCAGTTTCTCTTTCCATTAACAACTCTTAAATCAAAGCCAAGATTCTGGTTACATTCCTACTCAAACATTGTTTTTTAAAAATACACATATTTAATCATTTGTTTCGTTGATGATTTAATGTGCTCCAGTGGCAAAGCATTAAAAAGATGCCTCCCAAAAAAAATAAATAAAATGGACACTTTGAAGAAGCAGGCTAGTTCAGCTGCAAATCACCAAAGTCATTATTACTGCATCAGCCTTGGAGCAACAACCACAAGTCTATAAATATCTGCTTGATCTATATTTTCAACTTCAGCTGCTTCAAGGACTTTGTCCCTGTGAGGTCAAAGCTGTATAAATACGTTTCTTAATAATCCCAGCACTTCAACTGGTTTCTTTCTTTCTGTTTGTACCTACAGAAACTGATTGGTACCAATTTTATTTTGATTGTTTCTTAATTGGTTTGAATTTCATTTCAAAGTGCTCTGAACCTTTTGACATGACTGCAACATAAATCAGACGAGTTTACTCAAATTAATAACATATGTGGTTATTTAAATTTGATTGCTGCACATTATTACCTAATCAATAAGTGGAGCTGTTCGGTCTCCAACCAAATCAAGACTTTACAGAATAATAAATAACATCGGTTTACATGTATTTCTGATTACTTCTTATTTTTTTTTAGACGACTGAGCCTGGGATGAATGTCTCATTTCAACACACCCTGCTGCATGGGAGAATAATTTTAAAGTACGGGGGTGGTGGCAGCTCTGAAGTTTTACCAGATTATTACGAGCAGATAATGTTTCCTGGGAGAGTGATATCGCTCTTGTGTTTTAGTAACTTGCCCTATCGCTGGCCGCATTACACGTCTCGCCAGAGGAACTCTTGTCATAATTGCCAGCATAAAAGTAACATCACTGATTGCTAATTACCAGGAAGGAAGTCTTTTAATGCTTAACATAATGTGATTTCTGCCAATTAGAACTGACATTTTGAAATTGCCAGTGAAACTTTACACGACAACTGCAGTAATAAAAACTCCAGACTCTTTTTGTCCTCGCTACATGTGGTAATAACTAATAAAACATTTAAGGCTGATAGCCTGAGGAAGTTTGACTATTTACTTTATTAAATGTGTTAATGCTTTATAAGACCTCATACATCTATATTTAAAAAAATCATGATAAATTACATCTCTAATAACAAACTGCCAGCATCATTGATCCAAGATAATAAATAAATAAATAAATAAATATTTAATAAACGGTCCCAGATGTTTGTTTTTTTTAACCTTATTTTTACAGTAATAACAATATGGCAGCTTTTCTAACTTCCTGCAGCCACCAGCTATGCAGTAGTGCTAATGTTAGCTTGTAAACGGAAGCAAATGGAGGTTACTGAAATCTGAATTTTAGTTTTTATTTCTGTCCTCCTATATAAGAGTGTTACAGATAGGATTTTAGCAACGGCTTTAAAGCAGCAGTATGTAACTTTTTTTTTTCTAAATATACTTTTTACATATTTGTTAAAATTATGTAGTGGTAGTGTAATATGATACAGATAATCTGTGAAAAGATCAGGCTCTTCTAAATCTTCCCTGAGCTACTAAACAACCAATCAGAGCCCAGAGGAACGTATTAGCGCTAATGGTGAAAAAACAGTGATATGTTACCAGAAACCTGTTTTTATCTGTGTTCATTAGCAGCCATGCTAACTAGCCTTAGCATTCATGACAGGCAATGCTGATTGAAAACGCTAAGGCCCGTCTCCTGGCTCTGATTGGCTGCCTCTTTCAGGGGAGCTAGATTTTTTCACAGATTATCCGTCTAATGCCATACTGTCAAGCCATGGTGAAAGTAAAAAGTAAAAAAAAAAAATTAAATACTGCAGCTTTGGATTTTGTTGGACTTCCTGCACTAAAATACTTTTATTAAGCATGTCAAATTGCTAATATTTAACTGTAACAGATAAAACTGTAGTTTTC